AGACCCAGACACACAACAAATCAAAGAAAGATTGGACAAATGGGATTGCATGACACTGCAGAGCTTCTGCAGGGCAAAGGACATAGGTACCAAGATCAAAAGGAAGCCCACAAATAGGGAGAAGTTCTTCATTAGCCATACAATACACAAGGGTCTCACATCTCAAATATAATTAGAACTTAAATAATTAAATCCCCAACAACAAATCCTCAAAGAAACAACTGCCAAATTTATAAGTAGGAAAAGACTTAAAGAGAGAATGGCCAATAGAAACATGAAGAAATGCTTGACTTCTCTAGCCATAAAAGAAATATATATCAAAACAACATTGAGATTCCATCTCACCCCAGTTAGAATGGCTATAATCAAGAAATCTAGTAACAACAGTTGCTGGAGGGCCAAAAGGGAACCATACTTATTTGTTGGTGGGAATGTAAACTCTGGAAAGCAGTATGGATGCTCCTCTAAAGACTATACATAGAGCTCCCCTATGACCCAGCAATCCCACTTTGGGGCATTTACCCAAAATATCACAAAGAAGGCCATAGTAAAGCTACCAGCACAACTATGTTTCTTGCAGCAGTATTTACGATAGCTAAGATATAGAACCAAGCCAGATGCCCCTCAGTAGATGAATGGATCAATTCTATGCCTCCATCAGGAAGAATGGCATTGCCCCATTTGTGAGGAAATGGAAAGATTGGAAAAAATTACATTAAGTGAAGTAAGTCAGGCCCAAAGAAACAGGTCCCATGGTTTCCCTTATCTGCAATAACCAGTATATGTCTGAGACAAGCAGAAAAAGTCAGATAAGTTGATGTTAGGTGAAATGAACCCCAAGATAAGGATTCAAATGCTTTTTCTTTCTTGCAATTGTTTCTAACATATTTATAAGATGATTTTTTTTGTTGCTTTGTATGTCCATCCCCCATGGTATAAACCCCTGATTTCACTGTATTTGATGTTGGTATAATTTGTGGAGGGGAGGGGAAAAACAAATCGTTTAAATAGGGATACAGGTGGACCCATTGCAACAATGAGATGTACAAGTCGTTATGTCCAAAAATGAACTTTACAACTTTGGGTGGGGGCAGAAGGGGGGGGTAGATAGGAAGGGATGGGAAGGGGAAACAAAGGAGGAGACAACAATGCTTGATAAGAAATGTACTCATTACCTTGCTCATGTAATTGTAACCTCTCTGTATGGTATTTTCACAGTTTAAAAAAAAAAAGAAATGCACTCATTACCTTGTCCATGTAATTGTACCCCCTCCGAACGGTATTTTTACAATAAAAAAAACTCATGGATACTGCCCAGTCTCTGAGTTTAAACCCCAGGACCAGCACTGATGTGCGCGCGTGCACACACACACACACAAAGACATTCTCTAAACAGAAAGAAAACTATTCTAGGACTTCCAGGAGCAAGGACAATAGATTCCCAGTAAAACACACATTATAGCATCATCTAGTGGGTTATTTCATGTCTATAGAGAAACTACTCAAGAAATTTATTCATTCATCTATTTTATTTTTATTTTTTTCTGTCATGGGGCTTGAACTGTGGGCCTGGGCACTGTATCTCAGCTCTTCAGCTCAAGGCTACCACTCTACCACTTGAGCCACAGTGCCACTTCCGGTTTTCTGGTGGTTCATTGGAGATAGTCTTGTGGCCTTTCCTGCCCAGGCTGGCTTTGAACCGTGATCCTCAGATCTCAGCCTCCTGAGTAGCTAGGATTACAGGCGTGAGTCACTGGCAATTTATATTTCCCAAAAGGTAGGCATCTTGGAACAAACCATAATCCCAGTACTCAGGAGGATTGCCAGTTTCAGCCCAGCTAGGCTACCTATTGACACTATTTTAAAAGCAAGTAACCAACAAAAGAATAGCCTGTATTTTAAAACAGAAAGGGCTAAACATGTAGCTCAGGGTTGGAACTTATCATGAACATGCAGGAGGCCCTGGGGTCCATTCACATAGCACAGGAAGAAAATCAAGGTGAAATGATCTAAGTGGATGTGAAGTATCCACATCTTACAGTGGTAGATAGAGTGCTAGACAAAGACTGTCATCTCAAGCTATGAGGGAAACTGCCATCAGGAGGCTTACAGTTTAAAACATGACTTGCGGGGAAGGACTTCTCAAAAGTCACTGGATGCAATGATTTTTGCCTGTTATCCTAAGTATGTGAGAAGTGGAGACTCAGGAGATGCATAATTTTAGATTAGTCATACTTGCTGATAGAGAAGATTACTGCATTTAGAAAGGGAGAAATGTGGGTAAGTGCTGAAATTTCAAGGCAGAAGACACACCATAAGATGTTCTTTGGGCCTGACTATGTGGCTCAGTACATCTATCAAGCAGCACATAGGTGATGTAATACACACACGTGCACCCATACAATGTCCTTACTTATCAGTTAGCATGTTATATTATTCTAGAATGTATCTTTTATTTATAAAGCCATTTAAGTATTTTAAAAATCCATCAGCTAGGACTACTGTTTCCTTTATTGTATTTTGACTATATTGTTTATTGTTTTTTCAAAAGTAGAGCTGTCAGTCATTTCTGTGTGTGGTACTAGAGTTTGCTAGGCAAGTTTTCTATCATTTGAGCCACACCTCTAGTCCTATCACTTTTTTTGGTTAGTCCTAGGGCTTGAACTCAGGGCCTGGGTGCTGTCTCTGAGCTTTTGTGATCAAGGCTCGTGCTCTACTTCAGCCATAGCTCAATTTCTGACTTTTTGATAGTTAAATGGAGGCAAGACTCTCATGGACTTTCCTGCCGAGGCTAGCTTTGAACCACAATCCTCAGATCTCAGCCTCCTGAATAGCTAGGATAACAGATAAAAGCTACCGTTGCCTGGCATCCATCAATCATTCTTATTGTATATCTTTCAGACTAGTAGCATGTTTAGAAAGGCCTTTGAAAATTTTCAGCCTGTAAATACAGACTAACTTAATTCTGATACTATGTAGTGCAAGGTGGCCTCAAACTAGTAACCCTCTTCCTCAGCTTCTCATAAATATTGGAATTGTAGGTATGCGCAATCATGGCAAGCTAAAGTATTTTATAATATGACCATGTCATTAGATCCTCAAAAGGCTTTACCTATTATTCATTACACAAAGGTTTAAACCAGCAGTTGTCAAGCAGGGATGGTTTTGTGCCTCAGGGGCCAATAGGCCATGGCTGGAGATGGACTTAACTGTGGATGTGGTTGTGACATTAGCAGAGGATACATGATGTTGGTACATATCCTACAGAGCACAGCCTCTCTTCAGTCCCCCAACAAACACAAGGAATTATCCAGCCCCAAATGTGTGAAGAGATTGAAAAATATGGGCAATCATCTGTTCTCTTCCATGGCTTTTCAGATCCCCTTTGTTTCACGGTCTGCAATTTTCACACTACAAAAGTTTAAAGAAGATGAGAAAAAATAAAAAGGGAATAATTGGATATGCAATTTTTCTCTTCTTTTCATGCTAGGGATTGAACCCACATTCCATGTGCTCTACACGGGGTTATAACCTGAGCCAAAGAAATTTCAGCAAGCTGAGGATACTGGGATATTCCATTTGTAGTATCCTTCATTTCATTTTAGTTTGGCTTCAAAAGCTAAAATCCATGTAATAGAATATACCACAAAACAAAACAAAGCAAAATGGGAGTCAGGCACCAGTGGCTCATGCTGTAATCCTAGCTACTCAGGAGGCTGAGATCTGAGGATCAAGGTTCAAAGCCAGCCTGGGCAGTAAAGTCTGCGAGACTCTTTTCTCCAGTTAACCACCAGAAAACAAGTGGTGCTGTGGCTCAAGTGGTAGAGTGCTAACCTTGAGCTGAGGGATAATGCAGAGTTCAAGCCCCACGTCCGACAAAAACAAAACAAAACAAAAAACAGAAGGAAAACACCTCCACAAAACATTGACACACTATTAGGGTCAGAGGCATAAAGAAAAGACTAGACTAATTATGAGTATAGTGGCCCACATAGCCCTCTGGCTGACAGGACTGAGGCCACTTTGGCCTATATAATGAGATTCTGTTTCAGCATTCCCTACCCCCAAAGGAAAGAGACTAATTATTATGTAAATGCTTTTATTTGAAGTACTATATCACTACCAGATTACATCACTTTTCCGGAGTTAAGAGTAACATAATGATGTTGAAAACTAGAGCAAACAGCTTGACAAAGCAAGAGTACATTAAGTCTTACATAGTTTTACTTTTTAGTGACCACATCTCCTTGTTATAAGTGTAAAACTAAAACATATATTGTACACAGCGTACTTAACCTACAGAATCCCATCTAAGTTCTAGGCTCACTCTCTTCTCAAGCATGTCATATTCAATAGCATTTTAAATTTAAAGAGAGGGTTTGATGATACAGGTTTCAAAATTAATAAGTATTTGTTAAACAGACTCAAGACAAAATATTGTTTAGAGCTTGGATATAAGCAAATTTCGGGTACATTTTTCCTCTACCTATAACAATATATTTTTTTACTTATTCACTTGAAGACCCCCTTAAAAAAGTAGCAAAATCAGCAGACTTGTTGAATGTAATCAAAATATTCTTAAATGTACAAAAAAGGATCATGTAGAAAGAATATTGTAAAAAGATACTGATTTTAAGAATAAAAGAATAAGAAAAGCTTCTATTACATTCTGTGCAGCCAGTTACTTGGGCAAATTTTCAGTACTACCAAGTAAGCAAGGACTACTTCCATCTATATACCTCTGCCCATAGTTTTTGAATAAGAGTTAGCAGACAAGATGGAAAGCAAATGACTGGCTAACAATATTCCTATGCAACCATCTAAGCAAATCTCAAGAGATGGGCATTCTAAGAGGGGAGAGACATAGGGAGAAATACACGCAGCAATGAGAGATGTCAAGGGCAGCATTCCAGGAAGAGAAGAAAGTATTCTGATGATGCACACACTTTAGGTATGCCTGACAGATTCAACTTTGACTGTGGGGGAAAAAGAAGCTGTTTTTCTGAAAAATCCCCTCAGGGTTCTCATGGTGAACTACTCTTGTAAATTGAAACTAAAAGTCCTTTAGATGACCAAGAATTCCTTAAGCCGTGAGTACTTCACCTGGAAATAGCTGACTTACTAATAATCATGCACCTGGGAACATGGTTGGTTTTATTGAGAGGTGTTGTTTTACACTCTCTTCATCCCCCTACCCATCAAACATGCAAACACGGTCATGACCATCTTGGGCTTAACTTCAACAAGGTCTTCAGGAAGAGCATACACTCTGGCTCCAATTCTTCTAGCCATGGACACTGCGTACCTATTTTTCGAAAATAAAATCAAGATGAAAGAATTTCTTGTCTGTCAAGGACACTATGAGACATCTATTTTCTATTTTATAATCATTTGGCTGAGATGCAAAAACTCCCTATCAAAAGTACAAATCTGGATTTTATTTTGTGTTTGTATGTGTTCTGTTTTATTGCTTGGTCTAATAATATTTATTCACTTATCTGTTCCATCAGGAGCTGAGAATTGAGTATAAATCACTGACATCAGGTGGAAATGAAATTCTACATGTAATTACTTAGATTGGTTGTATTATCCATAGACATTCTTATTACACAGGCAATCAGTTAAGATACCCTCCTTATGGGAACTGAGAGATATGGAGCATAAAATTATGCCACATGCAAAATCCAACTTGCTTTGGTAAGATACAGTGAGTGTTTCTAAATATTTAAGTGAGAGAAGAGAATCTACATGGGATAATGGCTGAACTAAGGAATAGAAAGGGCAGGCAAAGAATAGGACAAAAGGACTGATATATACAGCTAGGGAAATTGGCAGGAACACATCTCACTTAATCATAAGCACTTTCTAGGTGCATTCCAACTGTAATCTTTATGGATATTAAATTTTTATCCTGTCATATGTATATATTTTCAAATAATGAAAATCATTATTGCAGGACTGCACATTAGCTATCTATCTTTTAAAAAGGCATTGCTGTGAGCAGATTTTTCAGATTGCACTGGTACATTTTTCACTGGGTCACTATAGAACTAGGTCATGAGTGAAGAAGGGAAAAGACAAGTAGAAAAAATTTCCTAAGCAGTGTTGCAATACAAGGCTTCCCTTGTTTTAATTTTGTTCTTGATTTGCTTTAAAGTATACACTATTCTTATAATTCTCTAAGCAACCTTAAAGGTCAGACACAAATCTAAGCTTTTCTCTATTTTGAGACAAGAGTTTCAGAACAAAGGCCGTGTTGGCATCAAAACTGTGATCCCCCTGCCCCAGTCTCCCAAGTTCTGAGATTACAGGTACACAATACTATGACTAGCAATGATAAGATTTTATAAATTTTTTGTGCCAGTACTGGGGCCTGAACTCAGTGCCTGGGTGCTGTCCCTTAGCTCTTCCACTCAAGGATGATGCTCTATCACTTGAGCCACATCTTCACTTCTGGCTTTTTGCTGGCTAACTGGAGATAAGGGCTTACAGACTTTCCTGCTTGGGCTGGCTTTGAACCTCAATCCTCAGATCTCAACATGCTGATTAGCTAGGATTATAGGATTATAGGTGGCACCTGGCCTTATACATTTTTATGGTTTAATCTTTACAAAAATTTCTCTTTTTTTTTTTTTTTGGGTCCGGTCGTGGGGCCTGAACTCTGGGCCTTGGCGCTGTCCCTCAGCTCTTCAGCTCAAGGCTAGCACTCTACCACTTGAGCCACAGCGTCACTTCCGGCTTTTTTCTTATGTGGTGCTGAGAAATCGAACCCAGGGCCTCCAGCATGCAAGGCAAGTGCTCTACTACTGAGCCACCTCCCCAGCCCCTCTACAAAAATTTCTAATGTAATTAGCACAGGCCTCATTTGAGTGATAGAGAACCTCAGACTCAAAGCTACTTCCCCATATGAGTATGGCGAAAGTGCCATGATGATCTGCCTATGCCTGTAAGTGATGTGAATCACTTACAACTTTCTTCAGGTTCACTCATTCTGTGGCAAGTAACACTAGTGGCTGAAATGTACTGTCATACGTGGACTTGTCAAAGGACACTTACATGTGGACTATCATAGGGCAGAGTAGAATGGTGCTTAACAGAAGTTTGGGAAACTGTGAAGGAGGACATTGGGAGATGGCAGATGAAGGGCATGTTATTGTTAAATAGAGAGAAAATGAGTCCCCCAAAGGCAAATAAATAGAAGGTAGGTAAGTGGTCATTTTGGGCTTGATGGGGGCAATGACTACTAATTGCTATGGAGCTTCTTTATTTTGGCTGATCCTTGGGCTTGAACTCAGGGCCTGGGTACTATCTCTGAACATTTTTTTGCTACCACTTGAGCTACAGCTCCAATTCTCGCTTTTTTTGGTAACTTATTGGTGATAAGAATCTCACAGACGTTCCTGTCTCAGCTGGTTTTAAACTATGGTCCTCAGATCTCAGCTTCCTGAGTAGCTAGGATTACAGACCATGAGCTACCCACACCTGCTTGGAGTTTCTTTCTTGGCTGATGAAAATGTTCTAAAATTGATTGTGGTGAAGGCTGTACAACTCAGTGAGCACATTAAACTACTGGAATGTATGTAGACTTTAAATGCATGAATTGGACAATATGTGAATTATATCTCAATAAACCTATTAAAATACTCAAAACCTTAAAGAATTTTCCCCAGGTCTGGGGGATGTGGTGGAACCAGAATTAACAATCATATCTGCCTGGCTGCAAAGCCTGTGTTCTCTCCACACGATTCTATACTTTCCCTTACTTGGCATTACTCTGTTTGTCATCCTCTGTTAGATTGCCACTCTTCACAAGGTCATAGTTTATGCAGCCCGGCTGGATGGCATCAATTAGATCCACAACTGCCAAACTAGAGCTGATCGTCTTATCCTAGTAAGAAAGGAAAACAAAGCTAAGAATTTCAAGATGTACAAGTTCACATGTGCGATTTTATATAAAATGCTGAAGATATAACCTAGCAAATTAGAAGAAAAACATAGCAGGAGCCCAAGAATAATTAGCATTCACAAAACCAAAGGGAGTTCTTCCAAATTATAGGTATTATTTTAGCAAACAGAGTAATAGTAATATGTGAATATAGATGTAATAGTCAATATAGATTCTTACCTTAAAATTCTGAATGGAAGTTGATTTTCCAGCTTCTCTCAATGTTCTGTTCACCCAGTTCACAATAATATCATCATTAGCTTTCTGACCATCTCCAAGATCCTCCAGGACATTTAGTGTATATCTAAGAGAAACAGAAGAAGAAAAAATACAAGCATTAGAAAGATATCTTCTGTTTAGAACAACTAGGGTTTAAACTCAGGGAATGGTGCTGTCACTAAAGTTATAATGCTCAAGGCTAGTGTTCTACCACTTTGAGCCACAGCTCCATTTCTAGTTTTCTGGTGGCTAACTGGAGATAAGAATCTCATGGAATTTCCTGCCTAGGCTGGCTCTGAACTGTGATTGTCAGATCTCAGCCTTCCCAGTTGTTAGGATTACAGGTGTGACCACCAGCACCTGACTAGAAAGATATAGCATCTTTCTTGAAAGAGTAAAGATTTCAAGGAAAGACATTCATGCAATGTGAAAAAATATTTAAAGGAGGAATGCCTTGTCACTCATCTATCTTTTGTAGTATAGGGGCATGAATCACAGTGCTTAAATGTGCAGACACATGCTATGCTATTCTAACAGTGGTAAGGATTTCAAATGAGTTGTGCTCTGGCTTGGTTCTAGTCCTAATGGGTATTTTTAGCATTAGTGTTACGAGATCATTTTCAAATGGATACATGGACATGTTCATATTTTATCCTCACAAGTTTTGTTTTATGAGAGACAGTACTTGCTGTGTAGCCCAGGCTAACTTCAAACTTGTGATCTTCCTGCTTCTGCCACTAGTGTGGTGGTATTACAGATGTGTACCACCACACCTGGTTTTATTTTTGGGGATGAGAATGGAATTTAGGGCCTCATACATGCTAAATATGTACTATACTACTGAGCTACATCCCCAGCCCCTCTAAGAATATTATGCACAAATATTAAATGATGCTGAAGTCCATGTGTCAGGTTTTCTAGGTAAAGAGGGAATTGTCACAGCTCAGATACAACTTAAGACTGAAACTCATGTCACAATCTAAAGTAAGTACAAAAGTGTACTCATGTACATGCTTGCTTATGTAAAAAGTAGCATTACAGTGGTAAAGGTAGTATTACGCTGCATCCTAGTAGAGCTTAAAGAGCTACGTGTACACTGTACCTCCTCATCAGCTGCCACACTAAAGCTAAGGTCAAAGTTTGGTTCCCATCATTCAGGTCTTGGCCTCCAATGCCAACGAGTGAGAATTTAGCAGGATGCTTCCCCAATTCAATGGCATAGTTGCAGTTCTCCAGCTGCAGACACACAAAAGGAAACGAATGGTTAAACACTTCCGCTCATTTAATCTGCATCCTTATTTGTGTGGATTGTATACTGCTAAGTTTTTTTGCACGTAACACAATAAAAATGTTATTGAAAAAAATTCTGACTGTCCTCTATAGTTAGCAGTAAATGCTTTATGAGGAAGTCAATGATTATAAAAAGTGTTGAAAAATCTTTTATTCCATATTTCCTAGACCTTTGGCCGAACCTAAAACTCTATTAGCTTTTCTAGAACATTTCCCTGAGCACTACAACTTGTGTAGAAATGGGTTCTCCTAGAGGTTCCCATTATCTTCAGTGACACCTATGGTACAGTGTCATCTAACTCACAAGCTGACCCCAGTGAACCACAGCTCAATGGTGGCAGAAGAACCTGATCACCAGTATCTTGCTATCAATTGAACAGAGTAAGGATGGCCCTACTTCAGTCCAGAACCTCAATAGTTCATCATTCACTCCAATAGCCATTGTCATTCCAATCTATAGTACCTTGTAGAACACTATTTTGTTAGTAGAGTACAGTGATTTCTCCTGGGATAAGGAAAAAGAAAGAAAATGGGGAAATGATACACATTTGCTATGGAGCAGAGAATATTCTCTCTTTCCTGAATTACTGAGTCTTCTAGGCTACGTATTTGTGTGTTTTGCTTTATGTTTGGGGACAATTCATCTACCCTACTTTCCCAAGGAGTGAAGCATCATGATACATGGATCATCAATGAGATATCCACTAAAAAAATAAAATGGATATTTCTATAAGAAAGTAACATTGGCATATTAGAATCATGAATTCTATAAGTTACCTGTCCAACAACAATGGAATAAAGAGTTTTAGATGAAAAAAAAAAACAAAAACCAAGACATAGTTCCTGTCTTGGAGAAGCTCAGACTTCAGAGCTTAAGAAAATGAAAGAAGTAGCCGGGCGCTGGTGGCTCACGCCTGTAATCCTAGTTACTCAGGAGGCTGAGATCTGAGGATTGCAGTTCAAAGCCAGCCTGGGCAGGAGAGACCGTGAGACTCCTATCTCCAATAAACCACCAGAAAACCGGAAGTGGCGCTGTAGCTCAAGTGGTAGAGCGCTCCCCTTGAGCTGGAGAGCTGAGGGACAGCGCCCAGGCCCAGAGTTCAAGCCCCATGACTGACCAAAAAAAAAAAAAGAAAGAAAGAAAATGAAAGAAGAAATAAGACATGTGGTAATTTCATTACACACCTTTTTCATGTTGGCTCCAAGTTTCGGGTATGGAGGCTTATTCACCTTATTCCAGTCCACAGGCACTTTAATTCGTTCATATAGCTGTAAGATTACCAGGGCATCTTGCAAGTCACTAATGATTTTAAGAAAAGTAATCAATGTTTACAGATAGCTAGACTTTAATTCCCTTAATTAAAGAAACTAGTGTCAAATAGTAACATTAACATTGTTAAAAACATAACCAAAGCCACAATGTAAGACTCCTGTTTTCATTGGTCTGTGCTGAAAACAGAGTTAAGGCCACTAAATTCAGTGCCTTTTTGCAAGCAAGGTGCTGTTTTAAAGGCTGGGAATACAGGAAAAAAATCTCTTCTTACATTCAGTTGGAGGGCTGACCAATAAACAAGTATATGAGTAAGAGATGATATGATTTGGGTGTACTGAAGTGCTATGAAACAAACAAACAAACAGAAGTAGGGTCAGTGTTTAGAGAATCTAACAACGAAAATTGCTAAGGATATGAACCACTAAATGTAGGCAAAGACACTGCATTGTATGGAATAAAATAAGGATGCAAAACATTATATTTGGGAAAGCAAACTTCCAGGTGGAGAAAATAGTACATGGAATATAGGACAGGTGTGAGCTAGTCCACTGGGCCAAGAATAGGCTAGGCTGAGAGAACAGTGATCCAAAGGACCCAAGGCATCACTGATGGTCTGCTGGCCTCTTAAAACAAAGTACCTGTGCCCTAGAGTACCATAAAAATACTTGTACATCCTCCCACTTGTAGTCAGTGACCAGGAAAATGAAGAATTTGGGTTTTTATATGTTATGAAAATGATGATAGAAACCATCATTTGACATTTTCAAATATAAAAAAAGCTACAAATAAAACTCTTTGAAAACCATTAGTGTTGCCCTTATATATATAGCCACATTCCTGACGCTCCTGTTTACAACAGAAGTAGATGGCTTACGCATAGAGATGATTCACGTGGGGATTAACGCCAAGTGAGTTCATCCAGTTACGGAAGGTTCTTTCTTCACGAGTTTCTCCTATTAACAATATTCAATCATTCATTAAATGTCTTGTATATGTACACATATTATCAAACCATATATTAGTTTATTTGATCTGTTCTATTCATATGTATAGGTTTTCTCCAATATGAACTTCCCAAGCATTCTAACTATATTCTGTCTACATTTCTACTTTAAAAAAATTCTTTTTGGGGAGGCTGGCTCAGTGGTAGAGTGCCTTGCATTCACGAGGCCCTGGGTTCGATTCCTCAGCACCACATATGCAGAAAAAGCTGGAAGTAGCACTGTGGCTCAAGTGGTAGAGCACTAGCATTGAGCTGAAGAGCTGAGGGACAGCATCCAGGCCCATAGCTCAGGCCACACGAATGACAAAAAACAGAAATAAAAATAAAAAATCTCTTTTTTAGGGGGCTTGGATGTGGCTTAGTGGTAGAGTGCTTACCTAGCATACATGAAGCCCTGGGTTTGATTCCTCAGTACCACAGAAAACATTTTTTTTTTTTTTTTGGGTCCGGTCATGGGGCCTAAACTCTGGGCCTGGGCACTGTCCCTCAGCTCTTCAGCTCAAGGCTAGCACTCTACCACTTGAGCCACAGCGCCACTTCCAGCTTTTCTCTTTTTGCTTATATGGTGCTGAGGAATCGAACCCAGGGCCTCATGCATGCAAGGCAAGCACTCTACCACTGAGCCACCTTCCCAGCCCAGAAACCATTTTTTAAAATAGTTAAAAAATTTATTTCAAAATTAAACAATACAGATATATTACAAACAGTTAAGCAAGTTAGGTTTATGAACCTTTCCTTCCATTCCCCTTCTACTTTATGTGTGTATGTGCATGGGGACACACATGCACACATGTGTATTCTGAGGCTTGAACCGAAGGCCTTAAGATCTTTTTCCTCTGTTTTGTTTTCTTACAGGCATACAGGCATCATTCTATATTTCAGCTTTGCCTCCAGTTCCAGGTTTTTCTTGGTAAATTGGAGAAAAGGTTCTTGTGTATTTGCTGCCTTGATTGGCTTTGATCTATGATCCTCAGATCAGCCTGCTAAGTACCCCCTAGAATTACAGGGTAAACCACTGGTACCTGACTTTTTTTTGTGTGTGTGCAGTGCATGGGTTCAAACCCAGGGCCTCAAAATGAGCTATGTCACTAGAGATTTATAAACTTTATAAAATTCCATTCTCTGTTAATATTTTTCCATTATCTCCTCAAATCTGCATACTTCAAAGTAACTGCTGTTATTAATTGTGTTTTTCTAAAACTTTGCTATGCTTCTATGAACCCATATATTCTGGCTAATGTGTTTTTCCTCTACCCATTAAAAAATACCAAACTACATATAACTATCACTTATATAAGCCAATGCTAAAACAATGTTACCTGAAAGCTTAGTGGCTGGATGGAGCTCAGAGGAGAATACTTACTAACACTCTACCATTTGAGCCACATTCACAGACCCATATTTTTAAAATCAATTCTCTCTGTGGTAGCAGATACAGGAATTCAGAGCCTTGAGCATGTGAGACAGGTCCCTACCACTGAGCTCAACTTCAATCCAGTCTACTTTATTTTCAAAGTTTGCTTGTATTTTTTTTTTGTTGTTGATTGTGGGGCTTGAACTCAGGGCCTAGGCACTGTCCCTGAGCCTTCTTGTGCTCAAGGCTGGCACTCTATCCCTCAAGTTACAGAGCCATTTCCAGTTTTTGAGTGGTTTATTGGACATAAAAGTCTCATGGAGACTTTTCTGCCTGGGCTGGCTTAAAACCACGATACTCAGATCTCAGGCTCCTGGGTAGCTAGGATTATAGGCATGAGCCACCAGTGCCCAGCTTGCTTGCATTATTATCTCTATACAGAAGCCTCTGGTTTCCACTCACCGGTGTCTACTTTTTAATTTATCTATTTTATTCACCTGTCAAAGCCAAGTGGATAAAGTAACTTACTAAATTAAGATTATGATATTGCCATGCTCTTTATATTTCTACTCTACAGCCTACACATTAGAATTAGCAAAACTTCCTGTTACCTTCTAGTAGAGTCCAGTCAATATCCTGATTCTCTGGCTTAGTCAGTGCTGGGTACTTATTAAACAAGTTTGCCACAAAGGCCAGGTTCAGTTTGGGGTTTCCACTAACAACATCAGCAGGGGTAACAAACTGTCTGCAACCTAATTTATCTGCTTGTTGAAGCATACTCTCTGCTCTCTTCAAATCATCTGTTTCCTGTTGAAGTAAAATAAAATGACATCTTTTAAAGTCCATACAGAAAATATAAATTTCCTTTATAATTATAGGCAGGTAGGATAATTCTACTTTCTTTTAGTCAACACATGGTATTTATTATGAAACTTTTGAATGAAAAAAGAAGGAAAGTGGCTCAGCAGGATATGCAGTATCTTTAAAGACCACAGATGGCGCCAGATCATGCATGTAAGGATTCACTAAATTAAACTCAATTAGAATTACATCTCTCATGCCCCACAAAAGGCTAAATTAGATTTTTTAAGACAGAAATTGACAAATAAATTTAAAACTGTTCATGTTTTCAAATAGTTGAAAATGGTGACACTGGAAAAAGGTACTTTTTTGTTTTTATTTTTGTTTTTGCCAGTCCTAGGGCTTGTGAACTCAGGGCCTGGTTGCTGTTCCTGAGCTTCTTTTGCTCAAGGCTAGCCACAGCACCACTTCCAGCTTTTTCTATGTATGTGGTACTGAGGAACTGTACCCACGGCTTCATGCATGCTAGGCAAGCACTCTATCACTGAGCCATATTCCCAGCCTCTTGTTTTTGTTTTTATAAAATGACTGGAGAAGACTGAGGCACCTGGGTGGTACTAGGAAAAGAGAAAAGTTTAAGGGAAATAACACAAGCTAGGAGAAATAGAGTAAGATTGTGTACAACCTTAAACATCAGAGCATTTTGGACTCAAGTCTAGAGTTGGTAAGAAAATCTTAGAAGGATTCTGAGGAGGAAGCCCCAAAAAACAAAGTGTATTTGGAAGGCTGAGAAGTGACTGAAGAATTGTATTAGAATCAGAACTCATTTACCTAGGTACGCATTCACCTGCCCAGCCATCCCAGACAGCTCGCTTTGTGCAAATGTGGAAACCTTATATCTACCAAGAGGTACCTGAGCCTAAGTATTTTGCCTTTACCATACAGACAGGAATATAAGCACACAGTCAGTTAAAAATTCAGTTTTGGTTTAGTAAATGAAACCAATTGCATAATATAATACATACATGGACTTTTGTTAAACATTATTAAATATATTTGGTATCTAATGAGTATAAGGAAATCCAGAATACTAAAACTGGGATAATTAATTTAGTCCAACTTTTTAAATGGATGGGCAAAGTAAAATCTAATTTTGGGAAGGAACTTTGTCCAAAATCACTGAACAATACAGGGAAATAATCAGGAAACACGGTCCCTAACAGTGATTCCTCAAATTGGATTTCATAGATCAGGATTTTGTAAATATATTTACTTGACTCTTAATACACAAACATTGCCAATTTAGATATGAAAAATATAATCACTAAGTCTATTACTGAGGATAATCGAAATACTTGGAAAAGGCTATTTGCCAGTCCTTATTTCCCTTACTTGCTTTGAATGCTTTTTATCATCATCTGTATAAATCATTACCACTATGATTATTGGAACTTACTATTTATCAAAGTAAATAAGGCTAGTCCCCCTAGTTACATAAACAAAAATACTGTAAAACATAATGCTTAAAATTGTTAACATCACTACATGCAGTTATAACAATTCTTCTATTTCTAAGAAATAGACAATAATTTTGGTAAGATTGTAGAACAAGAGTACCTATACTTACATTGAATCCTGACATGTTAATATCTATCCGTGGTTCACCTTCCTTTTGTCCTTTTGGTGCGATTTGATTGAGAAGGTGGAAATAGGCTTTGGAATCCTACAAACGAATTGAAAATGTCAATGAGATATCATTTACACAGAATGAATATGTCTTAATGTGCTGTGCTAAGAAAGATATTCACATCAGATTCCATAAAACTACAGTGCACAAATCTGTCTTCAAATTTAGCGGAATTTAAGCCCCACCCCAAAAGTGTATCTAGCAAACTGTATGTTGTCTAACTTGAATATGGATGAACTGGATTGACTGTATAATTTATTGAACTCATCAATAATGCTAATAAATATTTCTTCTGTACCTTCACTGAATTACTGAAGTCTATAAGCTTGATAGAGAAAAAAGCATGAAAAATGTAGTAGACCAAAAATCCAGGAAGCATAGGGAAAGAGAAAATAAACAGGTTATATTATTAGAATACATTATATATACACATATATCATAACCTATGGAGAAGACTTCTGTTATGTTAAAAATATATAAACTACACATTTAAATGTCAGTAAGTCTTCAGTGAGAAGCAGTTGGTAGAATAACACTTAACTCTTTAGAGTTAACCTTTTAGGATTGGAATATACTTAAATCTCTCACTCTCTCTTTTCCTCCTCCTCCCCCTTCCTCTCATCATTCATTCCCTTTCTTGTTCTCTGCAGGACCTCATGCATGTCAGACAAGTTCAAGCATTCTACTGCTGGGCTATATCCCCAGCCTCAAGCTTCTCTTTTGGTTTAAGTTCCTGGACATTCTCATCTTTGGAATACAATAAAAATAAAGCAGAATTACTCATATTGGGGATGGGAGGAGTGAATTAGTCTGTGAACTCTTCATGGCATACCTCTTGGAAAGCATTGTAAAACGTGCAAGTATGCTAAATGTCTCTACACCCATCAAATAAAACTCTGCCTCTCTCGAACACTAGATGACAAAAAACTGAATCAAGATTCTTCAATCCTGTCCCATCAGAAGGCCACCTATCCATCAATGGCAGTTTTCTATTACTAAGCTTCCAATGTTCAGCAAGGTTATCAGAAGTGTTTCAGACAGTTAGTTTCATAGAACAAGTGCATCCTAATCTCAGGTGAATTTATGCCAGACCTGCCAAATATGAAACCACCAGGAACTGCCCACAAACTGCATCTTAAGCCAGCTATGCAAGGGAGTTTGCATTTCAGTGCTACAAATGGCTCAAAAAAGGGGAGAGGGGAAATCAGTGAGTAAAAGCCACTTCAGAGCAATTCAGGAGAAGTTAACCCAATTCCTATCACTCGGGGGCATAGGATTTCCCGTGTTCTAAGGAACAGTGCATTGAAGCTAGGAAAGTGATTTCCTTTCCACTTACTCACTAAACACACATCAACAATTATGTATTATCTAATCCAAAGCACTGAAAAACACTGAAGCATAGACCCAGCAGCCTGTAATTGCTAGCTTGAAAGGCAATCCACAGGGAAAAATTTAAACTTGAGTTAGACAAATTGCAAGCTGCTTTTCGCATTACTAAATCATTCTTTGCTTTTCAAAAGAAAAAACATTTTCCTTAAAAAAATTCCTTTCATACATTGGAAATATACCCCAGTACATAAAACCTACTTCTAAATGAGTTTTTGGTTGAACATAAAATATGATGCAAAATATACCCAGCTGGACATGTTGTATAAGTTGAAAGTAGAGGTGCGGTCAATTGGGTCTTAGACATTAGAAGGAATCCTTAATTTCACTGAAAAAAATTCAGCACAGCAAATATCCCACATCTTCCTCTCACCACGAAACATATTGTTAGTATCCCAGGAAATTGTGCCCATAGCCCTGTTGGTCAATGACAGCTGGTGAAGACCCTCTATTTTGTTCCTACAATCAACACTGGCAGTTTTCAAGAGAGTCGTAGAAAATGAAACAATGAAGTTGTCCGGTGGCATGATGGGGAAATGGGTTTATAGACATGCCCTTCCCCTGCCAAAAGCATCTTTTGTAAATGAATGCAGGATTTGCATACACAACACATCCTTCTATACTTTTTTTTTTGGTCAGTAATGGGGCTTGAACTCTGGGCCTGGGCGCTGTCCCTCAACTCTTCAGCTTGAGGCAAGCACTCTACCACTTGAGCCACAGTGCCATTTCCGATTTCTTGGTGGTTAATTGGAGTTAAGAGTCTCACGGACTTTCCTGCTCAGGCTAGCTTTGAACCATGATCCTCAGATTTAAACCTCCTGAGTAGCTAGGATTATAGGTGTAAGCCACTGGCACCCGGATTCCTTCTATACACTTTAAGCTATCTGAAGATGACAATAATGCCAATTATAAATGGAAATGCTAACCGAATAGTTGTGATACTATATTATGTTGGGTCTAACAACAAGATAATGAAGTCTGTGCATGTCCAATAATACACAAATTTCCTCCTCAATTCCACATCAATGTACAGATGTGGAATGCAAAGATGGGGGAGGCAACTATATTTGTTACAATTATTTTGGTCCCTCTCCATGTAAGGAGCCAAAGGCATCATGTGGTAAATGAATATTACCAGTGCCTTCCTACGTCGCTTGTTTTTTTCCCCCTCTGACTGTCCATGAGTGTGAAAGCTCAATCTAATTCCAGAAGTATTTGGGAAGCTTTTCTGTACCAGGCCTTGTTTTAGAGATCAGGTTCAGTACGAAGGTAACTGGGACAGGGGCTCAGGTAGGATTCAGAGAAATAACAAGCACTCATGACTTCCTAACATCTAAAGATAGGAGAGAGAATATAACAGGTACAAAGATAAGCAAGAAGCCAGGTGGCCTGTAATCCTAGCTACTCAGGAGTCTGAGATCTGAGTAGTTTGAAGCCAGCCCAGGAAGGAAAAGTCCAAGAGACTCTTACCTCCATTTAACTAGCAAAAAGCTGAAATGGAGCTCTAACTCAAGTGGTAGAGTGCTAGATTTGAGCACAAAAGCTCTGGGACAGAGCCCAGGCCCCAGGTTCAAGCTGTAGAACTGGCACACACATACAAAAACACTAACCCAGAAAACTGATGGTGACAATAATTTTGATGTTTTCACTCTTTTAGGTCTTTTCTCATTCTTTTTCCTTTTCTCATTATGTGTTTCCCAATACTGAGACTCAAATTAAAAGCCTGGTACTTTTGCTCAGGTTTTTTCATTCATGGTTGGTGCAAAAGCACTTGAGCCAGGTCTTTGGTTCTGGCTTTTTGAGATAATCCCACGGATTTATCCATCCAGGTTGGCTCTAAACTGCCATTCATAGATCTCAGCTTCCTGAGCACCAAAGACTATAGGCATGAGTCATCAGCACCTGCCTTTTCTAGGTGGCTTTTCTAACAGGCTCATTTGCATGAGAAAGGCAGGAGTAGAAGGATCATGTTACAACTTGTAAACTCCATATTTAATAATAGGCAGAATACAAAACATTATCACTATAATGCATTGAGTTTTCCATGAAATGAATACTTGGTGTTCACATGCTTATTTGGTGCTACTTTTCCTCTAAAATCTATGTGGATGCCTTGGAGTGGAGGAGGTAAATACTTGCCTGGCATGCCAGAGCCTATAAGAGTGCAGATTAATAAACAAAAGGGACTTAAAAAAATAAAATCTACCATCAGGCCAAGAGGCAACATGGCTTGTTGATAGTGATATACCATTAGGACTGCCTCTGTTATAAAGGATGCAATTCTCCAGATCATTATATTGCCGAGCATCCTGACTCTTTGCAGTTACCTTGATGTCAGCACTGAAATTGTTGATCTTTTGCCAGCCTGAGTTTTCCAAATGAAAGTTTGCCCACCTAAGCAGAAGCTCTTCTGGAGACAATTTCATAAGCTCCTCCAAAGTCTCACCATCTCTAAGTAAAGCAGCCAACGCTGAAGAAAATAAAAACTTCAATCAATGTATGATATGACAAAGGGTCTCGCCAAGTTTACTCAACCTTTTTGTTTTTCTTGGGAGAGAAGGTTTCACTTCGTTACCCAAGCTAGCCTTGAACTTATGATCCTGTCCCAGCTTCCTAAGGGCTGGGATTATGAGTGTGCATTATCATGCCCAGCTTTGCCCAGTCTTTTTGAGACAATCTTAAGTAATAGAGATGTAAGAACTAGTATAGCATAGTTCTGGCTTCATGAGTATAATCTAATAAAAAATAAATATGTGAGTAGATACTTATTTTACAGAGTGATACATAGACATTGTATTGTGAGAATGCACAGAAAACATATAATAAAGTAATATTACTTTTATTATTCTTCACATTTGAAATACCAAAGTAGATTTAACATTTATTGACTTTAACATTTTCTATATAATTATGTATTTGCATTAACTGTTCTAATTTAGTAGCTAGTAGGGATTATAGAAGGATGTTTAAACTGGGGGAATTTTTGATTAAGGCATTCTACAGGTGTTGGGGGAGTTGCTCAGTGGTAGTGTGCTTAACTAGCATGTGTGTATAAAGGCCCTGAGATCCATCCCCAGAGTGAAAGACCTCAAATCCAAGAAGTTGAGTATCTATTATGAAATAACTGCCTCCCATAAAATGAAAGACTAATGTTGGACAAGAAAATTAGTTAGTACTATTTGATTTCTAAAGTTCTAATTATACCTCTATCAGGCAAAGATCATCTTTGATAGATTTGTGTCATTATGGTGCTCAAGGATTTAAGCAAGATGAGAAGTAGCGTGCTGATATGTACAGAGCCCTCCTTCTGGTTACCCTTCCCCCCACCATCAAAGGATGGAAAGAATCAAATAACCCAACATCTACATATCTAATTTATTTCATGAGCCAATATAATTGTTTTCTTTCCGCAGTTTCCATCAATTAAGCAAGGAAAACATTGATATGATGTCAGCAACTGGAGCCATTTTTGTTTTGTTTTGTTTTGGTCAGTCATGGGCCTTGAGCTTGGAGCCTGGGTGCTGGCCTTGAGCAAAAGAGCTCTTTTGCTCAAGGCCAGCACCCTACCACCACTTTGAGTTATAGCACCACTTCTCATTTTCTGATGATTAATTGGAGATAGAGTCTTAAAGACTCTCTTGCTCAGGCTGGCTTTGAACCACAATCCTCAGATCTTAGCTTCCTGAGTAGCTAGGATTATAGGCATGAGCCACTAGCACCTGGCTAACTGGTGCAATTTTAGTCATTCAAAAGTAGGATCTCAGTGCCAGGCCCAGTGGCACATGTCTGTGAAGTCCCTGCTACTTGGGAGGCTGAGGATGAGGATCACTTGAGCTCAGAAGCTTGATTACAAAATAAAAGAAAATAAGTAAATAAAAGTAAACATTTAAAAATTCAGAAATAAAATAAAAGCAGTATTAAAAATAATAATAAGAAAAAAGGACAAACTATTAGAGAAGCTCCTTCTTTCTAGATCCTTTAATATATTGGAATCCACCAAGTCTGGCAGAGTAGTGGGTCATTGCTGGAATCTTGTAGCACTTCTCTGTTCCCACCTTATTGGTTGGTGCTGGTATGTGAGTCCAAGAGTTAAAGATCAAACTGGGTAACAGTCAGATCCTCCCACAACAAAACAGAAACCAAGCAAAACCCTTAGGGCTAGGGGTGTATATAACTCAGTGGTAGAGCACTTGCCTAGTATGCACAAGGCTCTGGGTTCTATCTCCTGCACCACACAAGATAAGTAGGACTTATCTTGTGAAAATGTGCAAAAGCCAGTCCTATGATATGTAAATGTCCAACATAGGATTTGGCAAACATTATAAGACCTTGAAAAATATGGAGAATCCCAAATATATACTCTTCCATCAAAGTAATTAAGAACTATTATGATGGGAATGATGCTGGAAATTTTGAAATAAAATATGAATATCTGGAGCAATAATCAACATTTAAAATTTTAGAGAACTGCCTACTACCTGACAGCCATTGGATTGCATATAAGCATGCACTCTGTAAATAATGAGATCTAGAAGTCTATGCTGTTAAAAGGATGGAGGAATTTTTTTTCTGGCTCAGGAAATATAGGAACACTAAGATAGATGGCAGGACTGTGAAAGCAGTCTAAATCTATGATAGAATATAAAAGGCATTATAAATAACAGGACATAGCCTACCATGGAGCTCAGGGGCGTCATGCAGTAGAGGCTGTGTGGACCCTACAGAAAAGGCTGTTACCTTTGGGGACTTGGGAACATTATTTTCGTACCTTTGTTGTAGATAAAATTTAAAGTGCCAGATAAATGTAAATTACTACAAAAGAAGAGTTATAATTAGGCTGTTTCCCTGAATGCCTAAATAGCATTATCTTATGTTAATTCTAGTTATCATCTAATCACCTCAATTTAAGTGAAAGTATAATAGTTTGTATGAATAGAAAAAGATACCCCCAATAAACCACTTTCCCAATAATGACTGTGTTCCATTACCTTCATTCCGGCTTAACTCAATGTCTGCAAACAAACCGATCTTAATAATCTGCCAAAGCAGACCCAACACCAGATGAGGTTTCCCAGCCCGTAAATCCTCTGCACCAATGTTCACAACGTGACACCCAATGGCAGATGCAGAGTTCAGAGCCAAATTCAAGTTTTCCTGCAAGACAGCCAAATTACAATTACACTTGCTTTTTGACCTTTCCATTTTTCCCAGTGAAAATTTTCACTGAAAATAATACTCAGATGTTTCATTTGGCCCCTTCTGAATTATGCTGACACTAAAGGAAAAGCCCAAGTGACTACAGTAAATATATCCATGTGGATAGTGTCGTATTTCAAAAAAAATGTCTTAATGAGAGTCCCAGAAGTATGGCATGCACCCAAGTCAAGTTCTAGAAGCTACCGATCTCTATCTGATGCCTGAGGCTGAGGGGATTTTACCATTTAATAGTCTAATATTCTTCCAATGGAAAAAGAAAGAATGCTCCATTCCTTTAAATAGGCCAACTCATGAAGGGTTTAAATATTGTCCTTGAGCTCATGGCTTGGGCACTGTCCACTCAAGACTGGAGCTCTGCCTCCTGAGCCAAATCTCTACTTCTGACTTTTTAGTGGCTAATTGGAAATGAGACTCCCACAGATTTTCCTGCCCAGTCTGGCTTAGGACTGTAATCCTCAGATCTCAGCCTCTTGAGTAGCTAGGATTATAACAGGAATGAGACGGTGGTACCCAGCTGGAAATATTCTACCACAAAAAGACCATAGGGCTTTGAAATGAGGCAGAGATTTGCACCACAGTTCTTTATTAACCTCTGGCAAACTTTCAGACTTTTCTAAGTTTCAGCTCTGAGGATTAAATGAGATACTATGTGGTGAGTACAAAATATGCAGTGTGTAGAACAAGCTTTCCTGGTTTTATACCAGTTCCATGGCAAGAGTGGAGAACAGGGTGTACCTGAATGATGAAGGGTGTAAGTTTCTTCTTGTTGATTGCACGTTCATCAATTGTATCAGGAACTGAAAGGTTGATCATTTTGCTGCAACAAAAATGAAAAAAAGTTAATTACTCTTAAAGAGTCTATAAAACATGTCTTTCATGTGATCTAAACAAGAAACCATGTTGATTGATCACAATAAAAACTACATACAAGCCTAGCACTGGTGGCTCACGCCTGTAATCCTAGCTACTCAGGAGGCAGAAAGCTGAGGATTGCAGTTCAAAGCCAGCCCAGGCAAGAAAGTCCATGAGATTCTTATCTCCAACTAACTACCAGAAAACTGGAAGTGGCGCTGTGGCTCAAGCAGTAGAGCCCTTGCCTTGAGCTGAAGAGCTGAGAGACAGTGCCCAGGCTCAGAGTTCAAGCACCACGACCGACATAAAAAACAAAAACAAACTAAAAGAAAAAACTATACTCATAAAATGCTTTAAAAAAAAAAAAACAACCAAAGAGCTGAAGGTATAGCTTGGTGGCAAAGTGCTTGCATAGTATACAAAAGGCCTTGGGTTTGATCTCCAGCACCAAAACCAATACCAAAAATATGACCAAAATGTTTATAGTAGCTGAGACTCTGAATAGAGTGTAGGGGCATATTTTCTCGTGATTACATTTTTTTGAGATACTGGGGTTTGAACTCAGGGTTTCCAAATTATTATACAAGCACTCAGCCACTTGAGCCATACTGCTAGCCCTGTATTGTTTACATTCTGAAAATGAATAATCTGCATATTGAAAAGGATCAGTGAACAATTATGATAACCAGATATACATTGAAACTCTTCTACATGATTTAATTTATATTTAAGTTTTACCCTCTATCCAAAAAACAGTAATACATTATTTGTTGAGAAGACTTTTTTGATGCTACAGGAAGAAACAGACTCACACATGAGGTCCACCCCATCTTCTATCACTGAGCTATACCCCCATCCAAGCAAGGGATTGTTTCATTCACTCAAGTCTTACTTCTGCTTTTTCATGGTGCTTGAGCTGGAATCCAGCATTGTACTGCTGAGTTACACTCTTAGCCCCCTTCACCACATGCTTTCTGAGTGTCTCAAGAAGCTAGACACTCCATTTGGTACTGGTAATACAGTGGAGAGATAAAGAAAGATTAGTTAGGCTACAGTCTGTCACTTACTAGAAAGAAAATATTTTCTTTTGTTGGTCATGGGGCAGGGCCAGGGTGCTATCTCTGGGCAATTTTTGCTCAAGGATAGTGCTCTAAAGGCACACCTCCAATTCAGGTTTTCTGATGATTAATTGGAGATAAGAGTCTCACGGACTTTCCTGCCTGGGCTGGCTTCAAACTGCAATCCTTAGATCTCAGCCTCCTGAGTAGCCATGATTACAGGTATGAGCCACAGCATCTGGCTAGAAAAAAACAATCATATTTGATACTATTTATGTATTTTTAAAAATTTATTTGGTGGGGAGAATTGAACCTCAGGGCCCCCAAAACATCCATGGTTCATGGTATGTTCTATGTATATACATAGTATATGGAAAGATGCATGGTTTTCCCTATTCACCATAAAATTTCTTACAGATGGTACTATAAACAATTAAAATGTTATGAATCTCAGCCTAAATTTTACCACATGGGGGGTGTGGAAGGTAAATATTGCACACTTGGAACTAGTGTTGCAGATTTTAAAATATTTACATACACATAATGAGGTTATTATGAGGATGTCAAACAAATTTCATTTGTGTCATATATACCTTGCACACATAACCAAAGGGTAATTTTGATTTGTTTTTTATGGTGCTAGGGATGAAAGCCAGGGACTCAGACATGCCAGGCAAGCTGCATCTCTACCATAGAGCTACCCCTGGCCCAGAAAGTAATATTATACATTATTTTTAGTGCACCTGCATTTTGACAGTGACTTGCCACATAAAGTTAGGTGTGGAGTAGTCCACTTGCAGTGTCATTGAAGTAGGAAGGTCAGGTCTAGCCAGCACCATATTGATCACATGGTGAATGGTAGGGTCTAGCATCTCTTCTTCATGCTAGGGGAGGGTGACGCCTCCCAGGTGATGCATATGCCCAGATCCCTGGAGATAGGGACAGGCACTTGGCTGATAGGTTACTGAACCTGTCAGTCCAGTGCCTGGGACTGGGAGTGTTCTGTGATCCTGTCCTGTGCTGGGACACTATTTAGACTCTGACAAGCATAGGCACCCTTACATGTGTCTCCGTTTTTGTGTCCTGTGTCCTGTCTCTTCAGTCATCATAGAGTCCCAATTCAGCTCTCCATCAGAGCTGAATTAGTTTGTTGGTATTGTTTTTGTTCTTTTCTTTCTCCTTGGCCTGTGTCCTAGCTGTGTTGTGTATAAGCGGGCTGCAGGCCTTTATTACAACAGACTGCCTGCAGACTGCTATGTAATAAAGATCCAAGATTCATTCTCCCAAAATGTGTCTTCTCTGATAATATACCTTACAAATGTCAGAGCTTAAAATGTTTCAGATTTTGTAGCATTTTGGCTTTCAGATTTTTGGATTAGGAATGCTCATGACAGAAAGGAACCTAAACACATGTGGAGTTCACTATCCTAGTCCACAGCTGCATGGCTTCTGAGTGTATGAGCCTGAATTTGAACCTGGGTCTATCAGTCTTGGAGCATGCTCTTAACCACTGGGCTACACTGCCTCTGAAAAGAAAAGCAGCAGCAGAGAGCACTGAGGTTTTCCCATCACTTCTGCCAAGACCCTGCCGGCTATGGGGGAGTCACAGTGACAGGAACTTTTTAAAAATAGGTCACTGGAGAGAGTGAACTGAAGGTAGCCCTTTTTTTCCCTTTGGAAGCTATTGCATTTCAGAATAGACACTGACATACTTAAATGAACGAAGTAGTAATGTACTGCTTGCTAGTGATGAGAAGAAATGGGTGCTGAGTTTTTGTCCTATAGAGAATATCTCAGTCTCTGACAGTTTTCTTTACAGAGAAAGACTTAAGAGATGAAACAAAAGGGACTGAAGTGAGGTAATTCTCCTGTGTTTCTTTCCTGAGATGCAGCTGCCAATCATTTAGAAACAAACTGAGCAAGTTTATGGAAGGACATTTTTGGAAATCTGTAGATAAAACAAGTTAGCATCTTACCAAAGCACAATTCCATCACCAACAGCTTTGAACAGGTCATCAGTATTTGGGTTCATAGGTATAACATGTCTGCAATCTGGATCATTTTCCAAGGCCTTGTTTATCCAGTTAACAAAAGCATATTTTTCTTCCTCTAAAATCATGAATGAAAAACAGTTCATACTCTGTATTAATCTTTTGACCCCCCCCCCCAAAAAAAACCTAAAATAGTTGTAATAGCAGTATTGAACAAACATGTGGTTATCATCTTTGGACACCAGATACTTGGATATAACCCAAAATGAACAAAAACAATAAAGTAAGTAAACTGATCCTCAGAGAAGTTACTTATAAAGTCTTTTAAAAATTGTATGTATAAGCCAGGTGCTGGTAGCTCATGCCTGGTATCCTAGTTACTCAGGAGGCTGAGATCTGAGGATGATGGTTTGAAGCCGCCATGAGCAGGAAAATCCATGAGACTCTTATAAAGTATTTTAAAAAGCCAGAAGTGGAGCTGTGGCTCAAATGGTAAAGTGCTAACCCTGAGCAAAAAAGCTCATGGACAGTGTCCACACTCTGAGATCAAGCCCAAGTACCAGTACAAAAAAATTTACATTTATAGCACTGCACAACTCTACTGTAATAAAATCTATCATGACATGAACTGTGTCTCTTGTAAGCTAAAAAAAATTATACAATAAAAACCTGTCATATAAAAAACCCTGTCATAACTTTATGGTATTACATCTAAGCTCAAGTGCATCTAACCAAGGACATCAATGGTATTCTTTTTGTTGATTTATTTATTTATTTTTTGCCTGCTGTGGGGCCCTGTGCTGTCCCTGAGCTTTTGTGCTCAAGGGACACATTAGCACTTTAACACTTGAGCCATAACTCCACTTATTGCTTCTTGTGGTTAATTGCAGATAAGAGTCTCACTTGCTACTTTTCTTCCTGAACTGGCAATACTCAGATCTCAGCTTCCTAAGTAGAGATTACAGGTGGGAGCCATTGGCACTTGGCTGGGATTCTTTTGTTTTTGTGCTGGTCCTGAAGCTTCAACTCAGGGCCTTACACTCTAGCTTGGCTTTTTCACTCAAGATGGACACTCCAACACTGAGTAATAGCTCCACTTCTGGCTTCACTGAGTCATATCTCTACTTCTGGCTTTTTGCTGGTTAATTAGAGATGAGATTCTCTCACACTTATTCACCTGGGCTGGCTTCAAACTACAGTCTTCAGATCTCAGCCTCCTGAGCCATTGGCGCCTGGCTGGTGGGATTCTTAATCAGAACCCCCCCCCCCCATGACCTTACAGTAGCTACCCTACTCCCATCTACATCACCTGGAGCCCATTACCTGAATAAGAATGCTGAGTCCCTTCACTGGAGAGCTCTGAAGTCCCCCCCAGAGCACAGATCCCCTCCTTCCTGTTGATTGCCTTGCGGAAGGTTTTAGCAATATCACTGCTTTTTACCTCTTGGAAAATCTAGTAAGAAAAGAATTTTGTTGATTGACAATTCAGGCACAACAATAAGCATACTTGTCTTATTTTAGATCTTGATGGTTATTGTTTTCCCCAGGTGATGAGTGTTAAAAGGAAAATTGGGCTTGAGTTTTTGCAATGCTAAACAAATCTATCATGGTGCTACTCCAGATGAAGCTTCAAGTCAGTTGCACACACTTTCCAAAAACATGAAGTGCTACATGCATTGAATCCCTTGTAAGCTCAAAAGTAGGGTGGTTGAAAAGCACAGGTCAACTTGTTAATTTCCTATTTTTTTTTTTTTTTGGTCAGTCGTGGGGTTTGAACTCTGGGCTTGGGCATTGCCCCTGAGCTCTTCAGCTCAAGGCTAGCGCTGTACCACTTGAGCCACAACGCCACTTCCTAACCCCGATTCTCAATGTAAAGAATGTTACTTAAAAACACTTAAAATGCACTTTTAAAAAAAAGTGCAGCATAATGGTAGCTCAAGTAAGAATCCATTTAATCAAAAGTTGCAAGGGAGTCAGGATTTGAAAAATCTGTTCCTCTCCTTTCCTCTCTCCCTTCCTCTCTCACTTCTCCTTTTCTTTGTCTCTGTCTGTCTCATTTGTTTCTGAGGATAGACTTGAACGTTCAGGTCGATAACTCCACCACTGAGTTATAACCCCAAACCTAGCTTATCTTCACAATAAGGAAAGTGGCTAACAAGTTAATGTGTATACTCTAATTGTATAAAACAGGTTGAAACAGTGCAAATTTCACATCCTGGCTCACTAAATTGACTGGGTGGGCATTCTAATGGCATTTCTATATACTCCCAAACCCCCCTCCCCAAACTTGTCCCTGATCTACCAAGGTACAGCACTGCCTCCAGTTGCATAGAAGCAATGTGCATAAACTTCAAAGAACTTCCTTTAAATGCTGTTTAGAACCCTCATTTAAGTGACCCTATCAAAAGAAACACAACTGTAATGGAAAGTTTGCTAAAGAAATGTAAATTAACTCAAAGGTCTTTCATGCTGTCAATGAATACATATATTCTCATCTCAGCATGATTGTAGCCTATGCCTAGAATAATATCAATATATAGCAGTTCGTGCTGGGAAAATCCAGCCCATGAGATACTAAAACCTTGCTGAAGACTGCCAAGTTTCAAGGAGAGAACGATTTTGTAACTAGTCCATCAGAATAACTGACATTTTGTAATCTGTACCAAGGTTGCTGCCTGCATCATCTCATACCCTTACCTTTCTTGTCCCCTTACCTTTCCTGAAAACTGACTTGCCTGCATCTAGAAACAACTGATTCAAGTTTTCCCACTTTCTATATCTGCAAGTCTGTAGAATGCCAGTAATTTTACAGGTAGTGTTTTTGGTGTCTATATCTACAATACAGAAGATACACAGACACATTAACTTTTCTAGATAGTGTGTGCAAATGATAAACCCACTTTCTTCTCCATAGCACCGACTCTCATCTGACTTGGACACTCCAGGTAATTTTTCTATTATTCAAGCCAAACTAATTGAATTGAGTCACTCCCTGGAATGTGGCAAAGACTGAATTAGAATGTGTTTTGATCCATAGCTTCCTTTTTTGATAACAAGGCACCTGGCTCAGTAAGGAGACAAGTACTTCATTCCAATTCTGTGTCATTTAGTTAAACATTGTGGAGCAAGTTAAAATCTGACAGGTTGGGGCTGGAAAGGTGGCTCAGTGGTAGAGCGCTTGCCTTGCATGCATGAGGCCCTGGGTTCGATTCCTCAGCACCACATAAGCAAAAGTAAAAAAGCCGGAAGTGGCACTGTGGCTCAAGTGGTAGAGTGCTCGCCTTGAGCTGAAGAGCTGAGGGACAGTGCCCAGGCCCAGAGTTCAGGCCCCACAACTGGACCCCCCCCCAAAAATTTGACAGGTGGTTCTATGCTTCCATCAGAAAGAATGACATTTGTTAGGAAATGGAAAGATTTGGAAAAAATTATATTAAGTGAAGTAAGCCAGGCCCAAAGAAACAGGTCTCATGGTTTCTGTTATTTGCAATAACTAGTATGTCTGAGACAAGCAGAAAAGGTCAGAGAAGTTGATGTTAGGTGAAATGAACCCCAAGATAAGGACTCAAATGTTTTTTCTTTCTTGCAATTGTTTCTAACATATTTATAAGATGATTTCTATGTTACCTTGTATGTCCCTCCCCCACGGTAGAATCCCTGCTTTCATTGTATTTGATGTTGGTATAATTTGTGGAGGGGAAGGGGAAAAACAAACCATTTAAATAGGGATACAGGTGGACCCATTGCAACAATGAGATGCACAAGTCGTTATGTCGAAAAACAAACTTTACAACTTTGGTGGTGGGGGGGGGGGAGGAAGGGATGGGAAGGGGAAACAAAGGAGGAGGCAACAATGCTTGATAAGATATGTACTCATTACCTTGCCCATGTAATTGTAATCCCTCTGTACGGTATTTTCACAATTAAAAAAACTTCTGAGAAGTGGCATTTCCTCATTCCTGCCATACCACATGACAGTACAATGGGCAAAACATAGTACTGCCTCACAGTGATGTACCAGGCTGGTTTTCTCTGTATTAGTGCTTTCGTAGTAAGCATTATTGCCGGCTAGAAATTAGCCTGTTTCAATGAGCACAATTTCAGCCCACAGATAAATCCCGATTTGCATGTGCCATAGGAAAATGTGATGATTAAAATGAAAAGAAAAAGGAGGAAAAAAAGAAGTAGTATTGTATTATAATGAAATGACTTCTATGGTCTAGTACAACTTCTGATGTTTGGGAATGAAATGCAAGAATCTAATTAAATTTTTTAAAAAGAAGATTGTATGACTGGAGGAACAAAGTGTGAACAAATGCAGCAGTGGTCCTCACTAGACACTGTTGAAAATGAAAATATACAACTTGTGGGAGGGGACTGGAGGGAAAAACTGGGAGAGAGTGAGGGAAGTGGTAACATTGTCTTATTACCTGACTTATGTAACTGTAACCTCTCTGTACATCACTCTTATAATAATTTTTAAAAAAACAAAAAAGCTCATAATGCCTTTTTTCCAACTCCCTCGCTTCCTCCCTTTCCTTTCCTTTTATTTCTGTGGTGCTAGAGACTGAAACCCAGGATCTTGTACAGTTTAAGTTAATAAGCACATGCTCTACTGCTAAGCTCTACTCCTAGCCCCTACTTTCTAAATACTTTAAAATACATTCTTTCCGCTAATCCCAAATGATTGTGTACTTTCCTGCTCTTTGGATTATAACTTTTAATGTAAGACAATAAAAAATTCATATATGCAGATTGATTGAGAATTTGCTTTTTCCTTTCCACTTTAGTAAAGCAACTGCTGGAATGGATGATAAAGCTATTGGAGTATCAGCTTTAACTTTGTGAGAATATTAGAAGGCAGAGCACAAGGCTGAACACTGTGCTTTAGTCTTCTCAATGAAGCTTTTCAAGGCTGTGCAGGGATCCAGATGAGCTCATTGTTTGGAACCATTGTTCCTCCATGAGGAAGGACTAGTTTCATCATCTGTGAAGAACTTCCTGCCCACACAGCAATGTCCACTCTCCTTCAGTCCCCTTTAGGGAATGTATTTGGTTCTTCCATAAGTGTTATCACCTTTCTCTCAAAGATCCTCAGCAAGAAGCTAACTTCTTCCCATCCCAAAAATGACCCTGACATAGGCCTAGTGGCCAAACCCAAACAACCCAGAGGCATATGACTTATGAAGGAAAGATTTCAGAAACAATTACAAAAAAATTGACTGGCTTCTACTATATGGGGCTTATTTATTTCCAAAGTAATAGGTTTGAATTTCTCCTTTCTCTGGAAATTCTCATAATGCTGAACTTGTAAAAGAATACTGCTTAAAAAATAGTAGTCAGGTATTATGGTGTGCCTGTAGTCCCAGCCACTACAGAGGCTGAGGCAGGAGAATCCCTTGGGGGATCCAAGAGTTCCCACCAATGCAAGCAACTTGGCAAGACACTTTCAAATGAATAAATAAAATGAAGATAGTCTCCTTGACACTAACATCTATGTAGCTTTTACTATATACCTGACATTGTTTTAAGAACTTTGCCATGTTATTTAATCTTATGAAGTTAGAAACATTACAAATATTCCTTAAGAAAATCAACAACTTATTGTCATTATATAAGAACAAGATTCTCATTGTGAAAATGAGAGCTTAGCATGGTGATCCACTGTTCAAGGAATTTATTGCCATATTAGCTTTTCACAAAATCTCATTATTTCATAAATATAAACATCCAAGCCAGGCACAGTTGACTCACACCTAGCTTAAGAGGTTCAAAGTTCAAGGCTAGCCCAAGCAAAAAGCTTGCAAGATCCATCTCAACAGAAAAAGCTTGTCATAATGGCACATGGCTGTCATCTCAGCAACAGTGGGAAGCATAAATAGGAGGCTCATGGTCCAAGCCAGCTGGGAAGAAAGCAAAAAAGGAGCCAAATTAAGAAAAAAAGGTTTGGATGCATGGCTCAATCAGTACAACACTTGTCTAGCAAGCAGGAGCCCAAGTTCATAAAATTCCAGTACCACTATTAAAAAATCAAGTAATTTCATTTTCAAATGCTTAGAACAAAAGCACATATTTACAATAACTTTTGGAATCTTTTCTGCCCTCTGTGTATACTTCCACAAAATTAATACAAATTGATTTTATTTGTAGTTGCCACTTGTTTCCAGGTAGTGTTGGTATAGTCATTTCCTTTCATAGAAATCCACATTGTTTGTTTTCATTTGAAAAATAAGTGTAACCATATTGGCTTTTTCTAGGTCTAAAACATTTTAACCTAAAATGTTTTCAGTACTTGGTTTTAAAATTTCTCTGTTGTTGTCAAAATTATTATGCATCTTCTTTATTTTTTGTGCCAGTACTGGGGTTTTTATCCAGGGTCTCATGCCCTCAGTCAGCTTTCTTGCTCACCTACTGGTGCTTTTACACTTGAGCCACAATTCCTGCCAGGCTTTTTACTGGTTAATTAGAGAAAGAGTCTCCATTGGTGCCTGGCTCCCTTTTCTTTACTTTTGAAGAATATACAAAGGTTATCCCACCTCTTCACTTAAGAAGCCACTGAAAGCTGCATGGAAGTGGTCATCTTTCAAAAATACACGCAATTAAAAATCTTCCTAAGGTCATTGTTCTTGCAGACACTGCCATAATTTTGTCTACCACAAATCTTAAGGGTTGAGGCCTGTCCTTTCTAGGTGCAAGTTGTATCACAGTTAACTGCTCTGAGCTGCTTTCAACTCACAACTCAACATGCAGTTACAAGGGGAATGAGTTATGCAACAGAGAACATGCAAGTGCTCAAATTGTGACTTACTATTGAACACAGAATTCAAAGCAAAAGGCTTTGGCCCAAACTGGAGACAAAAAAATGGTTGGAGGAAATCAGTATTTCTAAAGAAAAATGGCAAGAACTATATCATTATAATTATGAGCCAAGTCTGCATTGTAAAAAGTTAACACCCTCCCCTACCCCTGTAATACTGACAGCTGAGTTAGACATCATTATTTTGTCATTATCCTTCCAGACCTGCAGTGTTCTTAAGGAGGTAATTCTAATCAGAGAGAACATGAGAATTTTAGAAAAAAATAAACTATGGAAAGGACAGAAAGGAATGCTGGGAAGTTTAAGACAAATATTGGGCACTAGTCACTAGTTTGTAATTTATCGAAAAGAATACCTAATCAAATCTAGTCTTAAAATGACCTTAATAATAAAAAGTAATCCATAAAATTTTAACAGGAGCTAGGAGTGGTGATTGCCTGTCCTAGCACTTAGGAGGCTGAAGCAGGATTCTGAGCAAGGTCAGCTGGGCTGCATAACAAGATCTTGTCTCAGAAAAATCCAAACCAATAAATTTTATGGTATATTCTTAACTGAGAGAAGAACGAAAAGCTCTTTTTAAATATGTCAATATTGTGTCAATAAATATACATTGAAAGTGGCTGGTGTCTTAGAAAAATCTCAACCCCCCAACTGTCAGTAAGTAAAAGTTAGGCTTTAGTAAAGAACTGTGTGCCTACCACACCAGATGCTCCCAAACAAAACATTGAAATGTCTTTCCCAATGGACTAAAAAGATATGCTTCTAAGTTTTCATTATCAAAATGATCACCCTAGAGAAAATGGTATAGTTAAACACCATTACCACAGGAGAAGAAAACGTCTATTTAATCAGCAAGTTTAGCTCAGGAAGCTCCTAAGACTGAGTTGGGGTATATCATTAAAGTTGTGGGGCATACTACTCACCATGAGAGAAAAAGATCATTTCAAGGCTGTCATTTAGCACTTTGAAAGACGCCTATAATGACATCCTGTTAGGAGATGGTCACCTTTCATAAGGAGCTTTCTTTCTTACAGTGTTCTCTTATGAAAGAACTAACTGAACAGAGTGGGCACAATGAAAAGGAAGGTAACTAGTTAGCAGATTGCTAAAGTGACATGTTTTCATGAGTTAACATAATAGTATTTATACTATAAGATCCCACAAGACAAAGGAACAATGGCGAGTTCTACGAATTGTAGATTTTCATATACTTACATAAACGAACTCATCAAAGCTTATCTTTCCATCTTTATTCCTGTCACTATCCAGCATGAGTTTCTGAATAATTTCTCTCACTTTATAGCCTGGCAATGGCATGTTCGCTTCCTTGAAAAGTTCATGAAGTTCATAGTCACAAATATATCCATTGCTGTTGAGATCTTTAGGGGGAAAAAAAAGAGCAAAAAAGGTTAGGGGACATTAATTGATAGCATTTTCCATTATTTTTGGTTTATTTCATAAGCTCACCTAATTGGAGTATTTTCTAATTATTTGGAACCTAAAACTGTTTGAAAGGAAAATGTACATTTTAATTTAAAGTGCAAGGTTTTTCATGATCTATCCTAGTGCTTTTTTGAGGGGTCAGTCCTGGGGCTTGTACTCAGAGCCCTGGATCTGTCACTGAGCTCGTTTTTGCTCAAGGTTGGCACTCTACCACTTGAGCCACTGTCTTCACTTCTGAATTCAAGGTAAGAATGTCCCAGACTTTCCTGCCTGGGCTGGCTTCAAACTATGATCCTCTGATCTCAGCCTCCTTAGTAACTAGGATTACCTGTGTGAGCCACTTGCATAAGGCTATCCAGTATTTTAAACAGTGGGTAAGAAGCTTTGCCTAAAAACAGTATCAGCCAGGCACCAGTGGCTCATGCCTATAATCCTAGCTACTCAGGAAGCTGAGATCTGAGGATCATGGTTCAAAGCCAGCCCAGGAAGTAAAGTCCCTAAGACTCTTATCTCTAATTAACTACTCAGAAAAAAACTTGAAGTGTTATGGCTCAAGTGATAGAGCATTAGCCTTGAGCATGAAGAGACTCAGAGACAACACTCAGGCCCTGAGTTCAAGCCCCAGAACCAACAAAAAATACTACTGCCGATTTTAAGCAAGCATGGTTGGTTAATAACACTATTATCAAAACACAGAAGTAGCTGGTCGTGGTAGTACATGCCTATAATTACAGCTACTCTGGAGGCATATCTAGGAGGATTATTATCTAAGGCTGCTCAGGGCAAAACTTTCAGACCATACCACAAAAATAAACTAAAGAAAAAAGGCTTAGGGGCATGACTGAAGTAGTACAATGCCTGCTTATTAAGTGTGACACTCAATTCAAACTCCAGCAACACACTAAGACCACTTTTTAAAAAAATCAGCACATTGGTGGTTCATGACTATAATCCCAAAACTCCAGAGGTAGACACAGTAGGACTGAGAGTTTTGAGGCCAGACTGCACTACCTAGAAGATCCTCTCAATAAAACTATACATTGGAAAGCATAAACAGGACTGGGGGTATGGCTCGAATGGGGAATCACCTGCCTAATAACTTACAAGGCCATGGATTGAAACCCCAGGACCACCAAAAGAACAAAATTACATTTTATACCAATGAAACACCAACATGGTATAAAACGACTTCTACTGAAACCATGCCTTCATGTTCCTACTCTCATTTGTATAAAACTTTTCTGAATTAATATGATGCTATTTTAAATCACACCTGAAATGCAGCAGCTACTTTTAGGGCTTACTTTGAGTAAATATAAACAAACACTAATCCAAGATTAATAAAGAGTTCATAGAAATACATGTGGTACTGACTCAAGCAGATGTTCAACATGACTCTATAAATATTCTTTTTATTTCTGTGCTACTGCAGTTTTAAGAGTATGTATAAAGTGCTGATTAAATGAATGTTAAAAATGAAGAATAAAATTCTGATCCATGGACTGAAAGTTTGTTGGATGAAAAAGAGGGTAAATGTCCAAAGTTATAACCACTTGAGGATGTATTTTTAGTAAGTAAATTTTTACTTTCTCCAGCAACATGAAATATGAAAATTAAGAAAGAAATAATCTGAGCCAGGTGTTGATAACATATGCCTATAACCCTAGCTACTCAGGAGGCTGCAGAGGCAGCCCAGGCAAACAAATCCAAGAGCCTCTTACCTGCAACTAAACAGTTAAAAAAAAGCCAGATCTGAAGGTGTGGATCAAGTGGTAGAATGGCAGTGTGAGTAAAAAAGCCAAGCAAGAGCACAAGGCCCTGAGTTCAAGCCCCAGTACCGGCACACATATACAAAAACTCTACCATATATTGTTCTTGAGACCAAGAATACTATAGACAACAAAAGAATGTCATTACAATATAATGTTACATACATAATATACAATATAATGTAATCAATATGGGACATATTTTAAATTTTTCTGGTGGTATTGTTATTTAAACTCCTGGCCTCTCACTTGCTAGGTAAGTGCTCTAACATTTGACCCAGGCCCCTAGCTAATTTTTCTTTAGTTTTTTGTTTTTTTTTGGATATGGTGTCAAAACTTTTCACCCAGGACTAGTCTTGATCATTTCCTGTAAAGTTAGGATTATGGATGTACACTACCACATCTAGCTTGTTTACTGAGATGAGAGGGTCTCACTAACTTTTTGCAGGGCTAGTTTCAAATTGTGATCCTCCTTACCTCTGGGATTATCTGTCACCACATACCTGGCTGGAAAATTTTTTATTGCCACAGCTGGGCAAGGAAAAGATGCTCCTGGTATCCAATAGGCAGAGACCAGGGATGACGATATTATACTATGCATGTGACCCCCATCCTCAATGCACAACATAGAATCATGTGGGTCAAAATGTAAACAGTGCTCAAGTTGAGTAACCATTCTAGTGACATTGTGTGGTGGGAAGGAAGGCATTTAGACAGAAAGGTGAGGGAAGGCAACTTTGCTGATTTGGGTGTTTTTTTTTTGTTTTTTTTTTTTTGGGGGGGGGTCCGGTCATGGGACCTGAACTCTGGGCCTGGACGCTTTCCCTCAGCTCTTCAGCTCAAGGTTAGTGCTCTACCACTTGAGCCACAGCGCCACTTCTGGCTTTTTTCTTTTTGCTTATGTGGTGCTGAGGAATACGTACCCAGGGCCTCATGCATGCAAGGCAAGCACTCTACCACTGAGCCACCTTCCCAGCCCCTGCTGATTTTTGTTGAATCTAGAGTTACATGAGTAAGGTGGCTATGTTGAGGAAAGGAGTTAAAGTAGGAGAAGTTGCAAATGAAGCAAATGTGGTGTGCTCCAGAGCCCACCAACAGTGAGAAACAAGGTCAGGAGCAGAGTATATCCAAGGAGTTTTTTTCTAAGTGCGATCATTCACTAAAATGGGTAAGATCCTATATGAAACCCATTTCATACTACTTTGAAAGCTGGTAAAGTCCTTCACTTTTTCCAGTTGTGCAGAGAATTGAACCCAATGCCTCCCATGTGCTATGCAAAAACTTTATCATGGAACTATATCTATCTCTAATCCAAAGGCTGATGAAGTTGTGTGTAGATAAAATGTCAAGCCTCATTTCTCTATTACTGAGCAAAACAGTCATGGCCCCTAAAGCCCTTGCTAGTATCAGGGTTTGAATTCAGGTCTCAAGTTTGCTCAATTGGCAATCTCCTACTGAGCTATGCCTCAAGCTGTTTTGCATACTGATGCTTATTTCTAGAATATATTAGTTTTATGGGGGAGGATTTTATTGAGACATTTCCATGTCCCTGGTTATTTTTGTAATAGGATCTCACTTTTTACCTGGGTCTGCACTCAGACCACAATCTTATTATTTTATGCTTCTTGCCATAGTTGGAAAGATAGGCAGGCACCACCACACTCAACTCTTTTGGCTGAGATATGGTATCAAGAACTTTATTTTGCCCAAGCTGGTATCAAATTGTGATCCACCTGATCTCAGCCACCTCAATAGGCCACCTCACTTTTTTCAGGTAAGGAAATACTTTAAAAATGTATTCTCCTTTCTCTGACTTCTGAAATGGCAAGTATCTAAGCATTGCTCAAACTTTGGTTTTTATTCAAATTTGACCTGCCATTTAACAGGTAATCAATAGTTGTTCTTTTGACAATAGAAATGGAAGGTAAGATATTTTAAACTTAACTATGGAAAAATATAATGAATTCAAAGCTGCAATAGACCAACCCAAGCTCTGAGAGTTTATCTGGTGGTTTATTTGTATTAGTGGAAATAGACGTTTGAGTTGCAGGGAGAACTAATGTTTGCCTGAACCCAATGCAAAAACTCTCTTGAGCCTTAATTAGAAAAAAGCTCACTGATGTGATTAAAAGCAGCCAGGAAGTAGCCACCCTAAAATATAACTAACATAAAATAACCACATGCGGAAACTCCATTTCAAAGCAAGGGTGGTAATAACAGATGCTTTTAGTAAGGGACAGGAACATGAGAAAGGAGTTGGGAGGAATAGGAATTTGTTATCATGTGACCATCTTTCTTAAGTTGCACATCTCTTCATAAAGGTTATTTTAATTTTTTATGTCCCACCTTAATATATAGCCCAGTGCCTAGCGTATACAAGCAACAAGGAAAAATTCTGCATGTACAATACATGGATTCTCAAGTATTAACCAGAGGAAAAACTGCTCTAACCCTAAACTAAATGGCAAAATATACACAAATAGCCTTTTTAAAAAAGCCAGAAGGCAATTCCTCAGGAAACCAAAACCTGACAGGAATATCCTTAACTGACTCTCAGTCTCATTCTCTTGGTTCTAATCCTGTCCCCACCCAGCAGCCTGTAGATCTGTAATTTAGTTTTCTAACTGGACACATACCCAGAAAAGAGGGCACAACAAAAGGGGCAGAAGAGGTGGTCAGATCAGGTGTTTCCAAATGCAGACACCTGCCATGGCTTTATTAAGAAATCCCCTGTTAGCTAGGCTCTGGAGGATCATCCTTGTAATCCTAGCTACTCAGGAAGCTAATATCTAAGGATCAAGGTTCAAAGCAAGCTTGGGCTGAAAAGACTCCAACTAACCACCAGCAAGCTATGACTCAAAGTGGTAGAGCCTTAGCCTTGAACACAAAGAGCTCAGGGACAGCACCTATGTTCTGAGTTCAAGTTCTGGTCCAGCACACGCGCATGCATGAACGCAAACACACCACACTCATGTAGCCTGTGTGTGGTGCATGTCTATAGTCCCAGCTACTCAGGAGGCTGAAGCAGGAGGATCATATGATTCCTGGAGTTTGAGGCCAACCTGGGCAACCTAACAAGACCCTTCTCAAAAAAAAGGAGTCTATTCTTCAAGACCCAAACCATCCCTACTGTTGAGGTGCATGCCAAAGACATAGAAATCTACCAG